TCAGTGTCTGTACATCCCCCAGGGAGACATTCCCCTCAGTGTCTGCACATCCCCCTGAGAGATTCCCCTCAGTGTCCGGACATTCCCTGAGAAATTCCCCTCAGTATCCGGATATCTCCCTGAGAGATTCCCCTCAGTATCTGGATATCTCCCTGAGAGATTCCCCTCAGTATCCAGATATTTCCCTGAGAGATTCCCTCGTTGGTCTGGGATCCCTGTGCACTGTACCTTCCGTCTCTCTTCAGCAGCCTCAAGTTTTTTCTGGATCTCCTCGAGGGAAGGATCCCGTTTTTTTGGCAAGGCTGTGTGGAATTCTGGGACTCCCTCAAATGATGGTGGTTTCAGGATGACTTCAAATGACAGGCCGGACGCTCTCTTGTTCAGTTCCTTCACCTCCATGTCGGATATGAAGCACCAGTTCAGGTCAACCGGGTCTAAAGAAAAATGAATCAATCTGTTACACAGGAACAGCAAGAGGTCATTCAGCCTCTCAAACCTGTTACACAGGAACAGCAGGAGGCCATTCAGCCCCTCGAGACCTGTTACACAGGAACAGCAGGAGGCCATTCAGCCCCTCGAGACTGTTACACAGAAACAGCAAGAGGACATTCAGCCCCTCAAACCTGTTACACATGAACAGCAAGAGGCCATTCAGCCCCTCGAGACTGTTACACAGGAACCGCAAGAGGCCATTCAGCCCCCTCCTCGAGCTGGTTACACAGGAACAGCAAGAGGCCATTCAGCCCCTCGAACCTGTTACACAGGAACAGCAAGAGGCCATTCAGCCCCTCAAACCTGTTACACAGGAACAGCAGGAGGCCATTCAGCCGTCTCCTTGAGCCAATTACTCAGGAACAGCAAGAGGCTATTCAGCCCCTCAAGACTGTTACACCATTCAATTATATCATGGTTGATCTCTTCCATATCTCTTGATCTCCTCACCCAAAACAAAACCTCAAGACCTCGGCCTTGAAAGCTCTAATGGGCACTTCAAATTGACATTGCTCCAGAATGACCTGTCTGTAACTTTAGAATTAGATTCAGTTCCGGATCCTCTCTGCAAAGGAACCATTTCTCTTTCAGTACCCTCGCCCCATGGTGTCACCCACAGTATCTACTGTGCTCTGTTGCTCAGTGTCAGGACTGCGTTAGTAGGTCATTATCCCTCCAGCTTTCCTGATGAATGATCTAGAAGATGCTGACCCAAGGCTCTGTCCCTGATGACGAACCTCACATGCTTGATATTGAGGTGTCTGGGCCACAGTACATCTATTGGCCAGGCTCCTGATCACGATTCAAATCCCACCACAATCAGAATTTCTAACTCAATCAGTGATGGTGACCCTGGAAATTATCACCAATTGTCGTAAAAAAAAAACGCATCTGGTCCTCTCTTCGGGAAGGAAATCTGCCATGCTTCCCTGGTCTGGCCTACATGTGAATCCATACTTACAGCAATGTTGTTGAATCCTAACTGTCCTCTGAAATGGCTCTAGCAATCCACACAGTTCAAGAGGAATTAGGGTTGAGCAATAAATGGATTACCTGGCCAGTGATGATCACATCGCATGAAAGTATAGATAAAAAGCATAATCAGTTCTTTTCCAGTGTAAACAAGTCACACCGTCATGGTGCCTTCCCACCAGTGGTGGTACGGTTTAAACACTGAGGGTCAGCTGTCACTGCAGATATCACTGTCTGAGCCCAGGCTTTAGCACTAATCTCACAACACAGAGACTGCTCCAATATCACTCACCTTCAAACTTATAGAGAGTCTTGTTACGAGGCTCCGGGTTGAAGCAGGAACAGAGAAGGTTAAAGAGAGGAAGTTCTCTCATCTTCTGTTTGTAGGCTGAAAGTGAATAGTGATAGAACAATGAGAGTCCTCAGCCCTCACTCACAGAAACACATCAAACTCAGCGTAACCTTTTGGGGCCGTCCTAAAGATTACATGTTGACATTTACGGGGAGACAGTGGTATGGGATAATATTTTTAAAATTCACTCATGGGATGTGGACATTGCTGGCTAGACCAGCGTTTATTGTCCATCCCTAATTACTCTGAAGGAGGTTGTAGTGAGCAGCTTTTTTGAACTGCATCTGTAATCCAGAGGCCCAGGCTGCTGTTCCTATCACAGCACAGCAGCTAGTGACATGGTAAACTCAATTCACAAATCTGGGCTCCTTTAGGGGAAGGAAATTGGCCATCCTTACCTGGTCTGGCCTATACGTGACTCCAGACCCACTGCGATGGAGTGATTCTGATCTGCCTCTTAAGTGGCTGAGTGAGACACTCAGATTAGGGCAATTAGGGACACCCAAGCCTCATGAAAAAGAATTAATTTTAAATCTGGAGTTAGAGCAATGTACCAGAGCCTGGCAGTTACTGAAATAATTATTACAATTGTGATCAATAATGGGGTGCAAACACTGTGATTAGAAGAGGGCTGTTGTGTTGTAGTGGCAGTGTCCCAATCTCTGAAACAGGAGGCCCGGGATCTGTCTGACCTGCTTCTGCAGCGTGTAATAGCATCTCTGAACAGGCTGTTTGGAAAATAGCTGCTGGGATTAGAAACCTTGTTCATACACACAGAGAGGTTAGACTGGATTTCACACACATTATGTTTCATGATGATGTTGTTGAGGATTAAGGGAGATTCTTTTCTCTTTGGGACAGACTCGCAACATTGTTAGTGTGAAATGGCTGTGTCTGCGTCTGCTTTCTCATGTCTATAAGTTCGCCTTCACTGTTTCGGCATTGGTCTCGTTATGTGAGGTGATCAATAGCAGTCTGATGAAGGTTAAGAGCGGTGCAGTCCCTGTGTTAAAATGGCATTGCAGGGGAACAGGCTGAAACATACCAGACAGTGACATGGTAATTGGATGAATCGCTTTCGTGTTGACCCAGAAAGACAGAATGGAAGACGGAGGCTCAGAATAAACACCTGTGGGAAGAGTAAAGCAAAAAAATGAGCACAGCCTCAGTATATTGAACCAGCAGCAGGCACGTAAACCTCAACATTTCACCTGGGGGCCCCTAACCCAGGAAACTGAGCCACTAAATCAGAGAAATCCTGGCAATTTTGTGCAGAATTGGAGTAGACACATCGTCTGGTTGACACAATCTAAAGCAAAGTACAGCTGATGCTAGAGATCTGAAATGAAACAGAAAGTGCTGAAGGAACCCAGCAGGTCTGACAGCATCTGTGCAGAGGGAGAAAGACAGTGTGTTACTTGTCCATCCCCAGCCATCCTGAGAAGGTTGAACGAAAGGAGAATCATAGTGGACTGGGAACTTTAACTTTGTTTCTCTCTCCACAGAGGCTGCCAGACCTGCCGAGTTTCTCCAGCATTCTCTGTATTTTAACCCCGGACTGATGATGTGGTAGTGTGCAGAGAGTATAGCTGTATATAATACAGCGGCACTGCTGTCAGTGTTTGGCCCAATGGGATAGTACAGAGCTTGTTACTGTACCCAGGGTGTGGAACCATAGATATTACAGACCCTGTCCTTACCATGTTTCCAGTTATGGGATATTACAGTTTTTGGCAAAACAGTCAGCGTTTGGGACAAGGCAATGCTACAGACCCGGTTTATTACAGTCAGAGCTCATGGTTATGAGATCTAACAATCACTGTTACTAAAAGCCTCCTCCAATGGTTCCTAGCATGATAGATCAGTCTTCAGCTGATTCAATACACTCCACATGATATTAAGAAACGGTTGGAGACACTGGATACTGCAAAGGCTACGGGGCCTGATAACATTCCAGCAATAGTACTGAAGACTTATGTGCCAGAATGTGCCGCTCCCCCAGCCAAGCTGTTCCAGTACAATTACAGCATTGGTATCTACCCGACAATGTGGAAAACTGCCCAGGTATGTCCTGTACACAAAAAGCAGGACAAATCCAACCCGGCCAATTATCACCCCATCAGTCTCCTCTCAATCGTCAGTCAAGTGATGGAAGGTGTCAGTAACAGTGCTATCAAGCAGCACCTGCTCAGCAATAACCTGCTCAGTGACGCCCAGTTTGGGTTCCACCAGGGCCACTCAGCTCCTGATCTCATTACAGCCTTGGTTCAAAAATAGCGGCATGGTGGCTCAGTGGTTAGCACTGCTGCCTCACAGCACCAGGGACCTGGGTTCAATTCCACCCTCGGATGACTGTCTGTGTGGAGTTTGCACATTCTCCCCACGTCTGTGTGGGTTTCTTCCGGGTGCTCCGGTTTCCTTCCACAGTCCAAAGATGTGCAGGGTAGGTGGATTGACCATACTAAATTGTCCCCTAATGTACAGGGATGTGCAGACTAGGTGAATTAGCCATTGGAAAATGCAGGGTTGCAGGGATAGGGTAGGGGGTTGGGATGCTCTTGGAAGAGTTGGTGTGAACTTGATGGGCCAAATGGCCTGCTTCCACACTGTAAGGATTCTATGGACAAAAGAGTTGAATCCCAGATGTGATGTGAGCGGGACTGGCCTTGATATCAAGGCTGCATTCAACTGTATGTGGAAACAAGGAATCCTAGCAAAACTGGAATCAGTGGGAATCAGGGGGCAAACTCCCTGCTAGTTGGAGTCATATCTGGAGGTTGTTGGAGGTCAGTCATCTCAGCTTCAGGACATCTCTGCAGGAGTTCCTCAGGGTAGTGTCCTAGGCCCAAACATCTTCAGCTGCTTCATCAATGACCTTCCCTCCATCATAAGGTCAGAAGTGGGGTGTTCGCCGATGATTGCACAATGTTCAGCACCATTCATGAGTTCTCAGACACTGAAGCAGTTCATATCCAAATTTAACCAATCTGGGCTGAAAAATGGCAAGTAATCTTTTGCATTACAGAAATGCAAGGCTATGACCATCACCAATAAGAGATAATTTGATCAACTCCCTTTGACATTCAATGGTGTTACTATCACTAAATCTCCTGCTATCAACTTCGTGGGAGTGACCATATACCAAAAACTCAACTGGACTTGCCTGTATAAATACAATTGTTACAAGAGCAGGCCAGAAGCTGGGAATCCTGCAGTGAGTAACTCACCTCCTGACTCCCCAAAGCCTGTCCCACCATCTACAAGGCACAGGTCAGGAGTGTGATGGAATACTCCCCACTTGCCTGGATGAGTGCAGCCCCAACAACACTCAAGAAGCTTGACACCATCCAGGACAAAGCAGCCGCTTGATTGGCACCACATCCACAAGCATCCACTCCCTCCACCACCGACGCTCAGTGGCAGCAGTGTGTACTGTCTACAAGATGCACTGCAGAAATTCACCAAAGATCCGCAGACAGCACCTTCCAAACCCACGACCACTTCCAGCTAGAAGGACAAGGGCAGCAGATACATGGGAACACCATCACCTGCAAAGTTCCCCTCCAAGCCACTCACCATTCTGACTTGGAAGTATATCGCCCTTCCTCCACTGTCGCTGGGTCAAAATCCTGGAATTCCCTCCCTAATACCGTAGTGGGTCAATCTATAGCAGGTAGACTGCAGCAGTTCAAGAAGGCAGCTCACCCCCACCTTCTCAACTAGGGATGGGCAATAAATGCTGGCCAGCCAGTGACACCCACATCCCGCAAATGAATACAAATATCAGTGTTTGGGCCAGTGGGATATTCCATTCATTGTTCCTATGGTCTGCTATCACACTGTATGGTTTCAGTGTTGGATGATGCTGGGTTCCTAGGTACTGTGCTGCCACCGGGTGGCCATTCTCATCTCTCAGGAAAGAGCTAAACCTGAGACAGAACCAGCCTGAACATTTAATGGTATCTGGCTTCTTTTTTTTTAAAGACAACCTGTGGTTTGTGACTCCCTCCTCATGCAAATATTGCTGTTAATGTTTCATTATCTCAAGTACGCCATAGGGGCTGCTCCTAGACAATTTTCTTTTGATTTTAAGTTTGACCGTTTTCCAGCTGGCCTCCCTTTCCTTCCTCTGTATCCCCAAAAAAGCACCTTTTTCATAGAATACCTACCGTGTGGAAGCAGGCCATTCAGCCCATTGAGTCCACACCAACCCTCTGAAGACCATCCCACTCCCCTAAGCTATACCTGTTAGCCACCAGAAGAGGTAAGGGGGTAAGGCAGATAGTACAGGGTTCCCCTGTGGCCAATCCCCTCAATAACAGGTATACCACTTTGGATACTGTTTGGGGTAGTGGGGTGTGACCTTTCAGGGGCTAGCAGCAGCACAGTCAGGTCAGTGGCACTGTGACCGGCTCTGAGGCTCAGAGGGAAAGAGTGCAGTCAGACAGAGCGATACCGATAGGAGGCTCAATTGTGAGGGGGAAAGACAGGAGATTCTGTGCTGCAGAAGAGACACCAGGATAGTGTTAACAAAGTGTGGAGGGGGTGAGGGTGCTTATTGCACAATATTTGTCAGGGGAGTGGCTGCGGGACAATGGGATGTAAAGAGGCATGAGTTTCATAAATATTGCTGTGTTTGTGGGCAGAGAAACCAGTGTTCAATATAACAACCTGGAGCAGGATGGGGAGAGTGCTGTGGGTCTTGGTGCTTATTGTGGAGTATTTTTATTCATTCATAGGATATGGGTGGACCAGTATTTATTGCCCATCACTGGTTGCCCCTTAAGAACGTGACAGTGAGCTCCCTTCTTAAACCGCTGCAGTCCACCTGCTGTGGGTTGGCCCACAATGCCCTGAGGAAGGGAATTCCAGGATTTTGAACCAGCAACTATGAAGGAACGGTGATATATTTCCAAGTCAGGATGATGAGTGACTTGGAGGGGAACTTGCTGTTCCCATGTATCTGCTGCCCTTGTCCTTCTAGTTGGAAGTGTTCGTGGGTTTGGAAGGTGCTGCCTAAGGATCTTTGGTGAATTTCTGCAGTGCATCTTGTGGATAGTACACGCTGCTGCTACTGAGCTGTATCCATCCAGGCAAGTGGGGAGTATTCTATCACACCGCCGAGTTGTGCCTTGTAGATGATGGACAGGCTTTGGGGAGTCAGGAGGTGACTTATTCGCCACAGTATTCCTAGCTTCTGACCTAATCTTGTAGCCACTGTATTGAAATGGCTAATCCAGTTGAGTTTCTGGTCAATGGTAACCGCAGTATGTTGATAGTAGAGGATTCAATGATGGTAACACCACTGAACGCTCTTGGAAGATATGGTGTGAACTTGAAGGGCTGAATGGCCTGCTTCCACACTGTAAGATGGTCACTGCCTGGAGTTTGTGTGGCATGAATGTTAGATACCACTTTTCAAACCTAAGGCTGAATACTATCCGGGTCTTGTTGTGTTGGAACTTGGACTGCCTCGGTAACATATAGGCTACAATGATTCAAAAAGGGAGTTCACTACCATCTTCTCAAAGGTAATAAATACTGGTCAGGCCAGCAACACCCACATCCCACAAGTGAATTTGATAATAAAGAGCTTGCAGATTATACTGGAGTACAATGCTGCTGTTCCTGAAGGCCCACACTGTGTCATGGATGTCATGGTTGCTAGGTCTGTTTGAAGTGTGTCTGGTAATAATGTCACACAACACGAGGTATCTCAAAGTGAAGATATGGTTTGCATCTCCACAGGACTGGAGTTGTCTGACCAATATCATTGTGGACATCCCCATTTGCAACAGATAAATTGGAGAGAAGAAGATTGGGTGTTTTGGGTGGTATGTAGAGCCACACTGTTTATACAGGGTTATGCTTTGGGATTGAACATGGGGTGGGAGGGCATGGGGAACAGTGATTGTAATATTTTCAACGTATGTTTAATCTGAAGGGGATAGGTTCCTGAGTGGTTTGGACAGCCTTGGTTTTCCCTGAATCAACCTGAATCCTTTGGATCTCGTGTGCAATTGATGGAATTTTTGAGTCAGAATTGGTTTCATTGGGTCAAGGTTGAGTGTATCGGAATTGCTATTAGCAGTGTAGAGAGATGTCGCTGCTACAGAGTGCTCAGACTGA